GGGAGGCAGAGGCAGGCGGATCTTTGTGAGTTCAAGGCCAGTCTGGTCTACAGAGTGAATTGTAGGACAGCCAAGGCTGTTACACAGCAAAACCAAGTCATGCAAAATAAAATATAATATACTAAGGTGGAGTGCAACATACCCAAAGTCAACCTCTAGCTTCCTCCAGATGTAGATGTATATGCACACACAGGCATACCCAGACACACAGACACACATATACACAGAGAGAGACACAGAAACACACACACAAATGAACAAATAAAACTGATCTGACAAGCTGCATCCAGAGAGCTGCCACCTCCCCAGCTCCTAGGGCTCAGCTGCCTATTCTCCACCAGCAAGATCAGTGTGAGGAACACCCATAGGCTTTCATGCCCTCCTCCCCAACCAGTACCACAAGTCATTCCTGCCTGTCACCTCAGCCATAGATAGCTTCAGTCCCTTCTAAGCACATACACTTCAAGGGGACCCCTTCAGTGGGGTCATCAAATGCCTTAATCTCTCCTACCAGTCTGGCCTGCCTCTACCTATTTATTCCAACTATTCCACCACACTGTGCTCACAGATCCCCAACACATAGTGACAACCCCCCAAGTCCTTTGCATCTGCCATGTCCTCAACCAGAAATACTAAGTGTTCTTCTCCACTGACCAAGCCAAGTCCCTGCTCATGCCTTCAGACCTGTCTAACTGCATCATCCGAGGCCTCTCCTCAGTACTTACCCCATACCACCCGCCTACTGCCCCCAGCTGCCTCCCACACACAGTGCAGAGGCCCCTGTTGCATTAGGATTGCTGTAAACACTTTGGTTTTCTCTCCAGGTGGGCTGATTAAGATCCAGTACAGGGCAGGTGGCACATGCCTTTAATCCCAGAACTCAGCAGGCAAAGGCAGGCAGATCTCTGTGAGTTTGAGGCAGGGTGGTCTACAGAGTGAGTTCCAGGATGGCCAGGGATACACAGAAAAACCCTGTCTCAAAAAAACCAAAACAACACCAACAACAAAAGATCTAGATGGGCTCAGAGTCTGCAGAAAGAAAGAACAAAAGAGAGAGAGAGAGAGGAGAGAGAGAGAGAGAGAGAGAGAGAGAGAGAGAGAGAGAGAGAGAGGAGAAGAGAGGAGAGGAGAGGAGAGGAAAGGAAAGGAAAGGAAAGGAAAGGAAAGGAAAGGAAAGGAAAGAACCCAGTACTGTTCTAGGGTAAGATATCAGCTGTGAACAAGAGCTGTGGCCCCCTACCCTGGTGGGAGAGCTTAGGAGACAGACAGTAAACATGCAGAACAAGTATATAATTTGATGCCCAGCAGTGGCTGCAGAAAGAGGCTCCTTAACCAAGTTTCCCCAGGCTAAGGCAAGATGTGAAAGAGGCTCTGCACTCCAGGTCAGCCCAGATCTACTGGCTGGCTCCCTGAAGCCAGCCCTCGGCCACTTGTGCTGCACAGAGAACTCAGCTGGAGGTAGGGTGTGTGTGTGTCTGGGAGATGGGCTGCAGACATGATAGAGTGTGAAGGCTAGGAGGACCTGGAACAGGCTCAAGTCTGAATGGTGCCCAGGACGAGCGCAGTGAGCACTGTGAATGGAGACCACAAGCCTATTCCCTGTTCCAAACCATTCATGGCTGCCCACTGCTCTTGGCTCAAGCTATGGTCCTTTTTCAGACCCCTCTCTAAGCTTCCAGCATTCCTGAGATGGCCATTAGCCTTTATCAACATACCCCTTCCTCCACAGTCCATCACTGTCTGACAAAGTCATGTAATCAGAGGACAACTCCCTCAGGAAGTTGAGGGATGCCATACCTCTCTTGGCACCCCTCCTTCAGGATACAGGCACACATGTGGTGCTTAGCAGACTCACCCTTGCTTAGCACGTGCTTCCTGGGAGTGGCAACTGTGTACACTTCTTATCTCTCCCCAGAAAGCAAACTGAGACTGACCGGGGTATAAATTGTGGCCCAGCCAAGGCCAAACTGCATCACCAGGGCTATACTTCACTCCTGTGTACCTCAGTTTCCCCAACTCTATGACAGGAACAGTATCATCAACCTTAAAAGGATCAATCTGGTACTATGCAAGTATCCAGTTTAGGATCTGGCAGGCACCCAGTGGGCCAGGCAATCACCTCCCCCTAGCTCAGGACACTGACTCAACTCCTCCCCCAACATCCCTCTGCTCAATAACAGGGAAGGGGAGGCTGCTGAGGCCAGGAAAGGCCAGTAGGGAGGTGGCAGGATGTGTGGAGGCTGAGGAAGTCCAGGCAACAGAGCCAGGTCATCACACACACACAGACACAGAGACACAGACAGACAGACACACACTCACAGAGCAGGGGCCCCACAGGCCACGCCCCCAGCAGCACAACCCACCCCTCACCAGGCCTACCCTTGCGCATGTGCATACACACCCTGTT